AACCAGGCAGCGCGCGCCTCGCCGGGGCCAACGGGGGTGCCGCCCTCACAGGGGGGCGGCCCGTCGACAGGGCGCTTGCGAGGAAGGACAGGGCGCGTCACGTCCTAGTCCTCGCAGCCCCACCTGCACTGGGCCGCGCGTCTGGAGCGTGGAGCCCTCGATCGGCGCAACGGGCGCGACGAAGCCCGTGAGCACCTTCGAGCAGATGCCAGAGTCCAGCTCACGACCTCCACATGTAGGGGGCACCTGGGGCCAGGGCGTATCCACCAGCACGAAGCGCCCACTCCTGCAGGTCCGCTGGCTGCATGTTGAAGCCCCCATGGCATGACCCATGGCGCTGGCAGCGCCCCTAGGTACGCCTTGAGCTGCGCCAGGATGGTCACGTTCTCCTTCGCCATGCCGATGCAGGTGACCAGATCGACTGATATGACATGGAGCGGCGCGGTGAGCCCCACCTTCAGCCGAAGCGACTCAGCCCTGTGCGACGGCAGCGCCTCCCTTGAGAGGTTGGGCCCCCTCGTGGCCGCGGCGCCGCCGAGGGCCCCTGCGTCGCCATTGGGGCGCAGGGGGCCTTCGTCCGTGGGCTCCGCTGGCCTCGATGCCCGGGTGTAGCATCTCTTCGAGGCCCACTTCGCTGCGGCACTCATCAGCATCGCACTCCTGATACGGTGCTCCTTGCGCGCGCAGCACATCTGGCAGAACATGATCGGGACTCTCGTGCGCCCCATCTGGCAGACACTGCCCCGACCCTGTGCTGCCCCGCTGGCGCCAGCCCCTTCAGCACGTCACCGTGAAAGGGCAGAGCCTCACCATCATCATCATCATCATCATCATCATCATCATCATCATCATCATCATCATCATCATCATCATCATCATCATCATCATCATCATCATCATCATCATCATGATCTTCACCTGCATGCGTCTGGCCCTGGTTACCCTTGCCCCTTGCTGCGGCCTCTTGGCCAGACTGCCGACACTCTCGAGCAGGCGCTTGAACGTGTCCATCTGGGCGACGCCCATGCCCGCATCCGCGAAGATCCGCTTGACCTCCTCGTCTTCAGCGTCAAGGTGGACGACGGGGTCTGGCTGGGCTTCAGGACGCCCGGCAGCCTGCTGAGCAGCAGGAGGGCAATTGTCAGCAGTTGGCTCCGCTCCCATTGGCGCTGGGATCTGGGATTCGAACTCCTTCTTCTTGTCTGCCGCCGGCGAGAGGATGCCTTCGGTGCTGATCCCGAACCGCCCTCCGTAGTTGCGGACGCAATTCTCCAGGATTTCTAACATGGCAATCTCATGCTTGGGGTCCACTGTCTGTCCATCATCTGGGAGGATCTTGGCGGACTGCGCCTGCTTGGCGTGACGCTCGAGCTCCTCCAGGGCTTCCCTGTGCTTGTCCAGCTGCTGAGCCTCCTCCTCGTAGGCAGTCCTGGCTTGATCCAGCGCCTCCTGCGCTGACTGGACACGTGGAATGAAACCCTCGATCTGTTTTGACTTCCTCTGACGGCGCTGCAACAGGTCTGGAGAACCCTTCGAGGCCAAGTCCACAGGCTGCACTTCCTCACTCTTCTTGAGTGCTTGCTCCACGTCTGCCACTAAGTGGGATTTCTTGGCAAGGCCTCTGGCCTGCAGCAAGGGCACGAGCTGCTCCGCGGTCAGCGAGGAGGGGTCAACGCCGCCCAAGGCGCCCGACCCACGCGGCGGCCCCTCGAGCCATCGGTTGACGGGCGGCGGCTTCCTCGCTGCTGTCGCTGCCCTTGACTCTGAAACTTGCGGCCTTGTGAAGCAGACTGAGACATGCGGGGGCCACCTGCCACAACTGCGCCCGCGCTGGGCAGCGGGCTGGCCAGCGCTGCGGGGACATCCTCGGCGCCAAGGCTCGCCGCGCTTGGCGCTGCCTGCGCGGGGGTGGGCTCGGGGCGCGCAGCGTCGACTTCGACTCCGCGTGGGAGCGGATCTACGCCGACTGAGGCCACCTTGTCGCGCGGCAGGCTCCGTTGGCCAAGCGGCGTAGCGGGAGGAGGCGATGCTCAATCTGGAAATCCAGCGGGCCGGCTGCCCGCAGGCCGTCCTCGGTGTCACGGGGCGCGACGGCGCGCCGGGCGACGAGGAGGTGTTTTGGGCCGCCGCCGCCGCGGGACGCAGAGGAGGACGTGGACCAGCGGTGCCCCATTGGGCGCGCGCCCTGGCGGATGGCGACGCTGGCTCTGGAGCTAGGCGGCCGTCGCGGCCCGGCTGTGCTGCGCCACCTGCAGCGTTCTGCGCGCGATAGGGCACAGCTGTTGGCCGGGGGCGACGCCGCCGCGGCCGCAGCCGCAGCCAGCGCTTTCACGCGGCGCTCGGGCGCGGAGCTGGCTGTCGTCTTGCAGGCGGCCACGGCGCGCGAGTTGTGGACCGCGCAGGGCGCTGACCGGGAGGGCCGCGCCGCCGCGCTGCGCGCGGCCGAGGCGGCCTAGTTGCGGGGCGCTCGCGGGAGGGTATTGGGTCGTCGTGGTCGCGTTCGAGCTCAGAGTGGGAACTGGCGCATGTGGGGCGAGCGTCGGCGAAAGTCCCGCCGAGGCGCTTGCATGACGAGGTTGGAGCGACTGCTCCAGGAGCCGCTTGGCTTTAGTCCGATCCCTGCCCCAGGGCCGACCGACCCGGGGGTGGGGGGGGCAGTTTCCGAGGGAACCTCATGTCTCATGTCTTCAGGCGTTTGCTCGTCAGGTTGCGGAGGAGGAGGAGGACCAGTGCAAACCCAAGAGCCAGTAATGATGTCGAAATAAACCCTCCCTCCAAGATCGGTCCTCATAGGCCACTACAACGGTTCATTCCCACAGGTGGAATTGCCTCGCTGGAAGACAACCGTTTGAACACCCTGAAGCGTACCGAAACATTTTCTCGGGTTTCCAACGCCACGGGTCAACCTGCTTGTTGCGTCGTGACGTTCCGGAGTTGGGGCAGATCGCCCTTCCTGGGACTTCACCGACGCGAATCAACGTAAATGTCGCGCCCTCGCGCCATGAATGGTATTTTGATCATGAGAAACCGCGAAATTCTTGCGGCGAGCTGTTAGAACGAATGTTCACGGCGCTAAGGCGAACGCCACATGTTGACAATGAAAAAAACCCGCCCTCAGTCCGTGAATCTCTGGCACATGTACAGAAACGAATGTGCGCGGTGCGAAGGCGAACACCACATTTTGAAATGGAGCCGCATTCAATGCGCGAACCTCTCGCAAGTTTAACACGCGAGTGCGCGCGGCGCGAGTGCAAGAACAACATTATGAAAAGGAACCCCCTTCAGCTCGTGCAGCTCATGCAAATTTCAAAAACATGCGTTCGGCGCGAAGGCGACCGACACATTTTGAAAACGAACTCCCCTCTATCCGTGAATCTGCTGCGACAAAACAAATGCACGCGGCGCCGAGGCTAGATCCAATACTCGAAATGGAACCGCCCTGAATCCGCGAATCCCCTGCCAGTTTAAAACGAATGTGCGCCGCGTTGGGGCGATACCTACATTTTGAAAACGACCCGCCCTACATTCGTGAAATTGTTGCTCAGCTTCAGGCTTCATGATCATAGGTGATGGGGAAATCGCAGGCGATTCGCCCAACCCGCCATTAAAAAGGCTCTGGGGTGCGACGGCGAATATATATATACATATATATATATATATATATATGTATATATACACACATATATATACAGACGCGCATACATGCATACATACATGCATGCATGCATACATACATACCCACATACGCACATATATACAAATACATTCACACAACTATACACCTATGTGGGGGTGTATTTCGCGGAAGGGGCGGTGGAGGAAACGGAAGAGGAGGAACGAAAGAGGAGGAGGAGGCCCGAAAGAGGACAAAGAGGGGGATAGGGGGAAGAGGAGGATAATGAGGAGGAGGAGGAGGACCATGAGGAGGACAAGGACGAGGACGAGGAGGGGGACGAGGAGGAGGACGAGGAGGAGGAGGACGAGGGGGAAGAAACAGAAGACGAACACGAAGCAGAGGAGGGGGAAGAGGAGAGGAGGGGGAGGGAGAGGAGGAAAGGGAATGGGCGGAGGGGGAGGTGGATGATGATGATGATGATGATGATGGTGATGATGATGATGATGATGATGATGATGATGATGATGATGATGACGATGGTGCTGATGATGATGAGGAGGAGGATGCTGATGCTGATGCTGATGCTGATGCTGATGATGAGGGGAAGGAGGAGGAAGAGGAGGTGGAGAAGGAGGAGGAGGGGGACGAGGAAGAGGAGGAGGAGGAAGAGGAGGAGGAGGCGAAGCGGAGGGGGGAGGAGGAAGAGGGGGGGTAGGCGGATGATTATTATGATCATGATGATTATGATGATGATGATGATGATGATGATGATGATAACGATGATGACGATGATGATGATGCTGATGATGATGAGGATGATGTGGATGATGAGGATGATGATGGTGATGATGATGATGATGATCATGATGATGATGGTGCTGCTGCTGATGATGCTGCTGCTGATGATGATGATGCGGATGATGATACTGATGATGATGATGATGATGATGATGATGATGATGATGATGATGATGATGATGATGGTGGTGGTGTTGATGTTGATGTTGATGTTGATGTTGATGTTGATGTTGATGTTGATGTTGATGATGACGATGACGACGACGACGATGATGATGATGATGCTGATGATGATGATGATGATGATGATGATGATGATGATGATGATGCTGATGATGATGATGATGATGATGATGATGATGCTGATGATGATGATGATGATGATGATGATGATGATGATGATGATGATGATGATGATGATGATGATGATGATGATGATGATGATGATGATGATGATGATTGATTCTTCGTCTTGACGGGGGAAGGAAGAAGGAGGAGGAGGAGGAGGAGGAGGAGAGGAGGAGGAGGAGGAGGAGGAGGGGAGGAGGAGGTGGAGGGGGGGCACCCCTTCCTCCACGCGTCGCAGGGCGCCTATAACGTCAAGGAGAAAAAGGAGGAGGAGGCCTTCCTGGCCGACACCGGGGAGACCAAGGCGACGGGCGCGCGCCCACGCCCTGGCTCTCCGCGGGATTCCCGCGAGCGCGCGCCTGGCCGCGCCTTCTCCGCCTCTCCTCGCTCCTTGTCCTCCCCTGTCCCTCCTCCCTCGTCCTCTCCCCTTTGCCCTCCTGCTCCCCCTCCCTTCTCCTCCCTGATCCTCCAGGCTGCTCCTCCTCTCTCCTCCTCCTCCTCCTCCTCCTCCTCCTCCTCCTCCTCCTCCTCCTCCTCCTCCTCCTCCTATATACATATATACATCTATATACGTGATATACATATATACATCTATATACGTGATTATACATATGGATTTGTATGTATATACTCTTTTCCCCTTGTCATATCTTTCCTTTTCTTATTTTATCTTCTATTTCCCCCCCAGCAGGACGAGCCCAACCTTCCCCCCTGCCTCCACATCCCCCTCCGTCCCCCCTCCCCCTTCCCGCTCCCCGTCCCCCTCCTCCTCCTCCTCCTCGTCTTAGTCGGCGTGGGAAGCTCAGGCTTTTGGAGCCCCGACGGAGGGAGGATTTTCATTGAACCTCCCTCACATGACTTACGGACTCTGACAGCCACACAGGTTGCTCTGCCGAGGCCAAGGGAGGAGAAGGAGACAAACAACTTAACAATCTCTGCAGCCCTTCCGATACCGTACCTCTTTGCGACCTTTCCCAGAGTGGCTGGGTCGTGAACCAGTGATGTATTTCCCTTGTGCCGCATCTTTTCGATTTTGGGGAGATTGGAGTGCGACCGGGGAAAAAAACGACGAGCCAAACACGCAGAGAACGGACCCGCCGCACCCACGCGCGGAAATGCCAGCATGCCAGGATTGCAATGTGTGAACAGATTCTTGCTCAAACCCAGGGAACGGACATCGAGGCGGACTGCAGCAAGGTACACCAAAAGGGGAGGGCATACGGCAGCGGGGGAGTTTGTAAAGCTCGCTCGACTCCCCCCTCCCCCGGCGTCTTGTGGGGCCCAGTTGTAAGAGCTGCCAGGGGAGTTTGCAGAGCGGCCTCGGCTGCCCCTCAGCACCTGCGCCCGCGCGGGCCCAGGTGCAGCCCGTCCCAACGACTTGCGGACTTTCTACATTGGAAACGCTGTCGCAGGAGATCGAAGATCAGTTGCGCCACTGGGATCCGATTGGCCCTGTTTCGCATTCGTTTGTTCGCCGCCGAACAAAACTGGAGGCAGGGCTGGGCCCGAGACGCCTCGGGGGGCGCCGAATCGAAACACTGCAGCGCCAGACGCGCAGAGAGAGCCTCGTGGCCGCGGCGCAGACGAAAGCAAGCGACAAAGAGGGAAGATGGAGGCCCCGAGGCTCGGAGGCCATTGGCTGCTGCCGATGATGGACCTCGAAAGCCCACGGATTCCCGCGGTGAGACGGACGAGAAGGATGTCTGGAAATATGTTGGCCAACCCCATTGCCCCGAAATGTTGCCCCAGGAGACCGACTCGTTCGTTCGCAGGGAAGCGAAGGAGGTCTGGGAAAACGGAGGCCCCGAGGTTCACAGGCCACCGACTGGTGCCGATGACGAACATCGAAATACCATGCTCTTCAATGAGGACCCAGAGATCGCAGCGCTTCTTGGAGTCTTCAGTTCTACAGCGACATGCGAAGGACTCACTGGGTGCGCGTTGCAAACGCTGTTCGCAGAAAAGGGGATGTCCACTGGAGGTTTTGTTGATATGCTCGAATTTTTGCTTCACGCAAGGATTGTGCGGTTGCGGGGGGCGTTGCGAAGGAGTAGGAAATTAAGGCAAAAGGACCGGCAACGTTTCCCAAGGGGCCAAGGGGGGTTCCCTCTGACTTTTTTCATTCGAGGGCATTTAAACAAACAAAACACGCCCCTGCCCTGGTTTACGAGGCGCTGTGCGCTGAAATTCCCGTGGGCTGACAGGGCAAACCCTGCCTGATGTACCGCGTCCTGGCGGTTCTAGGGTTGGGGGGGTCCCAGGAGGTTTACAGACCACGCACTTGCATCCCCGGGTAGGGTTTGTGCACCCCTCAATTTATCATCACATGCTCATTTTTTGAAGTGTTTATCATTGAAGAGCGGATGCGGAAGCGCAGCGGATGAATTTGGGACGACATCTCGGACATCATGTGGAACAAGATTTGCCATTATGTTGCGGCAGATGAATTGCGGCGCCAAGTGGCTTTTAGCGGCGCAGTTCGCACCTTGACTTCGCCACATAGGTGGCATTCGCTCTTTCCGAATAGGAACGCATCGGGATTCTTGCCAGCGTGGTACACACGTGCTTATCGGCTACCCCGCGAAAGTTCCACTCTTTCAGGAGGATGATGATCAGGAGGATAAGGAGGATGAGAGTTGGAGGCGGAGGAGGCGGAGGAGGAACGACCTCCAGTGACCTCAGGAAATGTTTTTGATGATGTGGAGGAGAAGGTGGAGGGCTCCAGCATGAGAGCGGGAGGGGCAGGATGCCAACGCCTCCCGATCATCCCATTTTCGCCCAAAAGCACACGCCCCTTCTTTTCTATATGCAGAAACTCCCGATCAACCGCAGGGCGGCAAGCTAGTTATTGGTCGTGGGGACGGGGTTCAGATTTCCGGGGGTCAACGTTGTGAACGCAAGCGCGAAACGGGAGTGCAGGGTCAACGTAGGGGGGGTAGCCTCCGCAGGGGGGACGCATCGATCCCCAGTCGCCCCTTTATTATCGGTAGGGGCCCTTTCATAGTTATGCCTGCCCAGGAACATGCGGGCTCGCTATCTGGGACCACTCGCCGATTATTCGGCGATGGATCACCGCTTCCAAGCAATGCTCCCCCCCGGAGCTGATCCCCGCTAAGGTTGCTCCTCATGCGGCGCCTCGTCTCCGTCGCCGTCGTCGGCGTCGTCGTGCTCCTGGTGCGTGTTTCTCTGCTCGGTACAACCCAGCTGTGCGGCCTCCGCTGACGTCCCATTCCCTCCCCTCCCACAGCACGCCTTTCAGTCCACAACCAGTTGTTCTCTAATGGCAGACCTGTAGCTCTTGGGCGGGGGGTCCGGAGTCGGAGAATGCAGCTCGCGCGATGTTCATATCGTTGGGATTTCACGGTCGGCGAAGCTATCGTCCTCACTACACAGGCGCCGTATTATAAATGTGATGCGGGAGTCAATTGGAACTATTTTCACCACGCCAGTCGCGGTCGCTGCTGCACCACTTCCAGTCACAGCTACCTTCGTCGTCGTTTGATTCCGCTTCGCTTTCTCGGCCATCGTCGCCGCCATGGTCGCGATCGCGCTGCCATCTTCATCGGCACGTTGTGCCGCTCTCGTGATGATAGCGAGTGGCGATGTATGCCCTCACGGCCCAGGCTGTCAAACTCATCAGCTGTGGCATGTCGTGCGGTCGTTGGCCTCCTCGTGTAGCACATGCTCGACAGTGCGACCGAGCTTCGCAGAATCATGGACAACTGCTCGCCGGTCTTCCCTGCGCGCCCACCACCACCACCACAATAAGTTGGAGGGTGGAAGGAGGTGGAGGACGAGGAGGGGGAGGAGGACGAAGAGGAGGAGGAGTAGGAGGAGGAGGAGCAGGACCCCATCCCCTTCCAACTGGTGGTGGTGGTGGAAAACAGGCCCATCATTTCTCGCACATCGCTCCATGTGTCGTGTTGGATCTTCGTACCTCCCCTCCCCCTACGCTACCGCTTCGTCGTGATCCTTACGTGCCCCCTCGGCCCAGGCCACTGCCACCGGCGAGCTCGCCAAGACCGTCGCACTTCTCGAGGACACCTCCCCCTCTTTCCGAGGACATGCGAGGGGGGACGAGGAGGAGGAGGAGGAGGAGGAGGAGGAGGAGGAGGCTTCTGCGCGGGGCCAGCCACGACCAGCTCCTGCACCGCGTGACACGCGGCACCCTCCCGGCTCTCCTTCAGTATCGTTTAACCAATCCTCGGGAGCGGAAAAGAGGGGGGTGATGACTCGGGGGGGGTGGATTTCATGGCGCGGGCCATGATTTTTCCTCAGATTTCATGGCGCCCCTTCTTATTTCATTACGTCCCAGGCCCCCCCGCTGGGCCGCGCACATGCCGCCGGTCATGATTTGCACCCCCCCTTCTTGGACACCCCCCTCGTGGCCTCTCCCGAAATCCCCATCCCCATCCCCATCCCCATCCCCTTCGAGACCCTCCTCAAATCACCACCCCAAAACTTCCAGATTACCGCCCCAGTCGGGGATACGCCCTTCGAAACCCGCAGGGAACGACCTGCATCCCCATCCAGGGGGGTAAATCGGCCGGCGGGGCCCAGGCCACGCCGCTGGGGATGGGAATCGGCTCAACGATACTCACTCCTGCCCTTAGTGGGCCCTGGAAACGACAGGGCCGTTTTCCTTGCCGCTTCCGTTTTGCCGTTTTGTTGTCGGGTCCGACGCCTTTTTTTACCGGTTCCGTCACCGTTTTTTGATCGGTTCCGGCTCCCGTTCCAATCTTGGAGCCGTTTTTCTTGCCGTTTCCGAGGGCAGTTTTTTTTTTGGAGTTTCCATTTTCAAGGGACATTTTCTTTGGAAGCGGTGCAAAAACGGCCCTGCCGTTTCCGGGGCCCACGAAGCTCCTGCCGCCCCTGCCGCCCTGCTTGCCCCTCCCCCCCCCTGCGGGGCCGCTCGGCCGCTCGCCCGCAGGAGACGACCGCCGCGCTCGAGAGCACCCAGGAGCCCCGCCGGCCGCCCCCCTCTGGCGGCCCTTCGGCGGCCCCTCTCGTGATGGGCTTTGTTTTTTCTACCACCACCACCAACAGATGGAGGGGGGAAGGAGGAGAAGGAGGAGGAGGAGGAGGAGGAGGAGGAGGGGGAGGATTCCATCCCCCTCCAACTCATGGTGGTGGTGGCGGAAAACAGGCCCATCAACTCGGCCACGCGCAGAGGGGGGTATCGGGGCGGGGGCGAGGTTTCTCAGAAGCAGCCTCCTTCTTAGAAGCCTTCCCCCCTCCCCCTGCTCACCTCTGCGCGTCGCCAACTGTTGGCAGCCCTCGACGGCCCTCGTCGGTGACGCGGTGGTGGTGGTTGCCGGCGCCGTGGTCGCCGCCATCGCCGCTGTCGGGGGCGTGGCTGGGGGGGGTGGGGGCGGGATGGAGGAACGACGGCGGGGAAGAATGATGGAGTACGGGGAGGGGCGCGGAGGAGGAAGGGAGGGAGGGAGGCAGGGAGGGAGGAGGGAGGACCAGGAGCAGGAAGAGGAGGAATGAGGAGTAGGGAAGAACGGATGGGGGGATGCAGGGGGCGGGAGGACGGGAGGGAGGCAGCGGAGTATTGAGCGACAGTGGCATGAATTTGTCAGCTTGCACACCAGACCTTGCTCTCGCCCCAGCTGCTACCACATTCGTGCTCCTTTCCGCTATCAGTGGTCGTGCTCACGACGGCGCCCCTGCTGCGTTCGCGACCCAGAAGCGTACCCTGGCACTAGTGGGGGTCGAGTTCCTCGTTCAGACCCACTGCACTTTCGGCTCAAGGTTACGGGATCAATACCTTCCTCATTTCCGCTGCGCCATGATTGAGTTTCGGCTTTTGAGTGGTGAGTTGTTGGATGTGAACTTTCAGGATTTGGATCATGTTTCGGATGCTCGTGGACAGATCGCACGTCTCGTTGGGTGGTCGCCAGATTATGTGAAGTTGATCGATTCGGGTGGGGACGTGCTGCTGGACCTCCAGAGGATTCACGGCTGGTCCCACGCCGTTGTAACGGTTTGCCTATCGCCGGATCCATTGGAGGAGCGCCTCGCAATCACTTGTGGAGTGATGGATTTTGCAGATCTGCGGTCTTGGGAGTCAACGGACTTGAGGTACGATGATCTGAAGGCGTTGCCGTATCGTTTTGGGCAGCTCCAGTCGTTGCGGGTCTTGGACCTCCACCAGAATTCATTGACGTGGTTGCCAGACAGTTTTGTGAAGCTCGCTTCGCTTGAGCACCTTGATCTTAGGGACAATAGGTTTACATCATTGCCACAGAGCTTTGGAGAGCTTGAACCCTTGCGCCATTTAGATTTACGTCACAACCGGCTGACGTCGTTGCCAATGAGCTTTGGACGCTTGAGTGCGTTGCACGTGCTGGATATTCGAGGCAATCGCAAACAAGGCGACGATCTTTTGGGTGGGCCAACCAACGAGCTAACGGATTTGCCAGAGTCGTTCTGCAAGTTGAGGGCGTTGCGGAGCTTGGATGTGCAGGGAAATCACATTGCACGTCTTCCTGAAGGTTTTGGCAATTTTCCTTTGTTGGCAGAGTTGGAAGTTCAAGACAACCGTTTGCAGTCGTTGCCAGAAAGCCTTGGTCAGCTGGTTTCCCTCCGATCCTTGATTGCCCATGGTAATTTGCTGACGGCTCTCCCGCGCAGGTTTTGTGATCTCGGCATGTTGGCAATTCTAGATCTCCAGGGGAATCGCCTCACCGAGCTGCCAGACAGCTTTGGTAAACTCTCCGCCTTGGAGACGCTGCTTGTGTCACACAATTTTCTTAGTGTACTACCCGCATGCTTCGGTGAACTTTACCGCCTCCGCATTCTCAAGGCCGAGGGCAACAGGCTGACTGCAGTTCCTGCAAGCCTCGCCCTGCTGGGCCAGCTGGAGGTGGTGGACTTGCGAAACAACGCGTTGCGCTGCTTGCCTCATGGACTTCCTCCCATTCGCGAGCGCGTGGACCTGCAGCTGTCGGGCAACCACCCCGATCTGGCGCACCGCGTGCCAGGAGCGTCGGGCGCTGGCCGGCTCTGCCTGGCCGTAGGTTCTGAGGGTGTTTGCTGCTCGTGTCAAGGCGGGGACGCACGCGGCACTCGGCCGGCGTCTCGCATGTGCATGTTCTCCGTGCTTTTGGGACGCTCGAAATCGGTACGGAAAGAGTTGGTACGAAGACCGACGGCATGTCCTGCTCATCACTGTGTCGGCGTCCCGCGGACGTTGTCCATCTGAGACAGAGGGCCGCCTGCCCAACAGCGGCCGCTGTCGGTTTTGCACAACATTCGCTGTTGGGCATCGTGCCCATTTTTTCCATAACCTTTTCGGGCGTCCATGGTTCTTGTTGGTCTAACTTTTGGTGCGATAGTTCTCCACCGGAAGCATGCTTTCGACGTGTTGTCCAATCGTTGGGGATCGCCTTGGTGCTTGCTGTCTCGAAGCAGTTTCAGGGAGTTGTGAGGATGTAGCCGTGCTTCACGTCGGCCTGCCAGCAGCGGGCCGCCTCAGTCTGGGCTGGAAAGCAGGCCGCAAGTCGGGTATCGCAGCAAAAAGGGAGGGGTAGTATTCGCCGCATTCCTGGTCTGCAGTTGTATTCTCGCAGCGGTGTTTGGACGTGCTCTCTCGTCAGCACTAACCTATTTCGTGATGCAGACCAGGATATCGCTGCACTCCAGCCAGATTTGTTTTTGATAGTTGCTTTCTTATTACGACGGCCATCCTTCCAGCATGTCTGGGGATTCGGAGCAATGCTTTCGACCTCGCGTTGCCACATGTTCATTTGTGGTCAGTGGGGTCTGGGGAGTGTTTTGGAACTGGTTAGGAATTCCTCTTGAGAAATTCTGCGTTTATCTGAACGGGTGCCTTCACGCATCCGGAGAGGTCCTGGCCAATCGGAGGGCGTCATGCGATTTTGAACTTCCTCACGCCCTCCGAGTTTTGTCTCTTGAAGGGGTCTGCTTCAAGCTGAGACACGTGGAACCGTGGCGTTGGTAGTATGGCCTGCTAGTGGACAGCTGCTGGCTTGTGCCATCGAGTTATCCAGAACATGACGCGTTTTGTCTGTGCCGTCATGCAGCCGGCTGTTTCTGCCCCACGTTTTTCCACTGGACGGTTTCGTTTCACCACTGTTGCCGACTGTTCGTCTCGTGCGGCCTCTACGAGTTGATTCCGATCCCTTGCATGCTGGATTGCAATTGTCAGCCTGCTTGGACCCCAAACAGTGCGCTTTTTGCCCGCTATGTTTTCCAAACCTATGTGAGACAATACTTTTGGTGCAATCTATGCGCTGCAAGATCTGCGATGTAATCTATGTGGTGCAACATGTGTGCTGCGATCTATGTTCTGCACGCTATGTTGTGCAATCTAGGATGGGATATCTAAGTTGTGCGACATTGACTCGGCTCACGGGCATATCGTTGCCCATGCTTTTCTTGCTAACCTAATCGTGAGCACTAGTTAGTTTGTAGGGAACCCTTCTGAATCTCTAGTCAGGAACCATGATCAAGGACTTCTCAGCTGGGACATCTTAGTAAGGTGTCCTCACTGGGGATGCTTTGATCGTACATCCGAGTAAGTAGTCCTTGTTAAGGAATTCTTAGTAAGGAATATGAAGTGATTGGACCCCAGAAAAGGAAACCTTGTCAGGGTGTCCTTACTCGGGGCATCATTCGTGAGGTATGCGGATTCAACGATATTTAGTTAGGTATCCTGAGTACGGAATCCTTTTATCACGAATCTCATACAGGGAACCCTTTGTAATGGTTCTTAGTAGCGCCTCCTCAGTATGGACTCCTTGGAAGAGAGTTCTTCGTAATGAGCTCTTGGTAAGGAACCCTGACTGGGAACTCCTTCGTAAGGAACCCTCAGACATGAAATCTCAGTAAGGATTCCCGAGCAAGGGACCCTGAGCAAGGAACCCTAAGTCAGGATTCAGTTGGAATCCTGACTGGGGGTGTCCCTGGCAGCAAACCCTGAGTGCGGCGTCTTTATGAGGGAAACCTTCCTGATGAATCCTTGAGTGTAAATCCTGGCGAAGGAACCGTTAGCAAGGGATGCTTACTAAGGAATCGTAGTACGCATTAACCACGGATTTGTAATATGAGCCTTCCGTGAAGAACCCGTATTCAGGCATCTTTTTTCGGGGATCGTTGATACGGGATTTGCAATAACAGGTAAAGGTTCGGATGTCCCGGGTGCGTGTTCCTTAGTAGCGCCTCGTTATTACGGACTCCTCCGCAGGACTTTTGAGAAAAGAGGCCTGGGTGAGGAATCCTGAGTGGAAAACCCTTTTGTAGGGGTATTTTTCAACAGGGGTTCTCATTAAGGAACCCTTGGTAAGGAATTTCCGGTAAGGAATCTTCGGTACGGACTCTTGCCGAAGGAGTCTTTACCAGGGAATCTCGAGCTCGGTTCCCTTACCAGGGAACTTTTACTAAGGAATCCTGGATATTGGACCTTGGCTAAGGAAACCTTGGTAAGGACTATATGTCAAAACCTATCTCCTTAGCAATGAGTCTTACATAAGGCATATATGGAAGCATAGCCCTTTAGCAATGTGGTTTTTGATAAAAATACTAGGGGATCCTGAGTAAGGTATCTGTAGTCATGAAGGTAGTGTAAGTTCTCCTGATTCAGGATCCCTTGTTAAGGAATCCTGGGTAAGGATCCCTTCGTCACGAATCCTGACTCGAAAACCATTATTCCTGACTTCTCAGCAGCGCTCCTTAGTGAGAATTCCTTAGGAAAGGTGCCCTTAACATGGAGTTCTTGCTGAGGAATCTTAGGTGGGAAATCCTTCGCAAGCAACCGTCAGTCATTATTTTGTAAGGAAATCTTCGTGAGGCATCCTTAGTAAGGAATCCTCAGTCAGACATGTTTTCGAGAGGGTCCTCAGTAGGAAACGCTGTGCAAGACTCCATTAGTAGGGAGCCCGTCCTAAGGATTCCTTGATCGTGAACCCAGACCTAGGAAGCCTTAGTAAGGACTCCCTACTTCGGAATCATCAGTAGGGAAACTGAAATAATGGAACCGGGGTAAGGAGTCCTCTGTGAGGAATCCTTCTTCCGGAATCCTTAGCACTGGGGTTCTTAATCTGGAGTCTTGCGTAAGGAACCGTGTCGGGGGAACTCCCTGTTAAGAATGCTCGAAGGAAGGATCCGAAATATAAGCCTTTTCGTGAGGAGTCCATACTCAGCAATCTTTCGCACGGGACCCTCGATAAGGATTCCGCAGCGAATCGGGGACAGGGAATCCTGAGTAAGTATTCCTCAGTAGCGCCCGCCTCGTTCGCCAGGATTCCCCCGCAGGGAATCCCGAGTAAGGAGTTTGAGTATAGAATCCCGAATCGGAGCTTCTTCGTAACGAAGCACGAGTGGAAAAAACAAAACCTTCGAATGCCGACGGCTCGTGGCGCTGCCTCCCCGCACAGGGGGTCTGGGCCCTGGAGGAAAGGCTCGCGGGAACCACATAAAGCGGCCCCTCTGTATCCACAGGCCCTTGTTTTTCGGCGGCGAGCAAGGGGGGGAAGTGAGAAGGAGAAGGGCTTTTCAGAAGGCGGCGGGGCTTCTCAGAAACCCTCGCGCATTCCGAGAGGTGTTCTGTGTCTTCGGGGGAGGCGTAGAGAACTTTTTAGAAGGCTGGGGGACTGACGAGCCTTCTGAAAAGGCCCGCCCTTTCTCACTTTCCCCCCGCGCTCCCTGGGACCGCGGAAAAAAACAATGATCAGTTGATTCAGGGGTAGTTTTTTTTGGTCCTTGGATCTTTCCCCCAGGACCAGAAGCCCCCTCCGCCACACACTGGCATAATATGTGCAACCCCCACAATGCAAATCGGGTGATCCTTTCTCATACGTGAAGGGAAAAGGAAACCATGTTAGCGTTCTCCAGTGATGGACGGGGGGAGAGAGAAGAGAGAAACAAACACAACAAACAGTAATGCATAACAGCAAGCATGTGTATATTTACACAGAAAGATAACACAGTAAAGAGAGAGAGAGAGATAAAGAGAGAGAGAGAGAGATTTATAAATGCAGAGGAAGGGATACCGATTCAGAAGGCGAACAGTGAATCAGAGAAGACGGGCGGGCGCCTCCTCCTTCGTTCTTCGGGGCAGGAAGAACGGCCACCGATATGCCCAGTCATCTTGTACATACGTATAAATCTATACACATACATATACCCCTCTACGAGGCCTGGGGCCCCAGGCTGGGGCGGCGACAACGCGTGGGGGGGACCAGAGACCCAGAGCTCCGAGTCGCTTCCGAGTCACCGGAAGATCTCCCCCACCCGGTCGTGGTTGTCACCATCTGGTCTCAGGGGCAACGATAGGGGGGGATAGGAATAGGGGGGGATGCATCGACCCCCAATCGCCCATTGATCTCTGATAGGGGTCCAATAGCCCCACCCCGCCCAAAAAGGTGCGGATTCACTATCGGTGTCCTATCGCCGATCTATCGACGATGTATGGCCGATTCCAGGTCGATGCGTCCCCCCCTATGCCCATCCATCGACCCCCAATCGCCCATTGATCTCTGATAGGGGTCCAATAGCCCCACCCCGCCCAAAAAGGTGCGGATTCACTATCGGTGTCCTATCGCCGATCTATCGACGATGTATGGCCGATTCCAGGTCGATGCGTCCCCCCCTATGCCCATCCCCCCCTATCGTTGCCCCTCATAGTCCCCCACGCTGCCAGAGCGCTCCACGAAGGATTCCACACTGCACAAAACGCTTCCCGGACGCTCCAGGAGTGTCCGTATACGGCCCCCGCGTGGGGCCCAGGAAGCACAATTCACGCGTTTTCCATGGGGTTGTTGTATCTACTTTTTGATGTCCGCCTCCTCGGCTTGCCAATGCTCCAAGCTAGCCTCTTCGCCCCTCCCCATCCCCATGCTTTGGAGCAGGAAGCGCACCACCACCACCACCTGGGTGGATTCAGGACGAGCTGGTGTGCGGAACGCGTGTGTGTAGGAGGCCCCGCGAGAGCGCCCGACGCGATCGACACCACCACCCTCCCTGGCCGCCCTCTGCCTCCATCCTCCGGGTGGTGGTGGTGGTGGTGGTGGTTGTGGCTTCGTGGGCCCTGGAAACGACAGGGCCGTTTTTTTACCGGTTCCGTTTTGCCGTTTGGTTGCCGGTTCCGACGCCGTTTTTTTACCGGTTCCGTCGCCGTTTGTTGACCGGTTCCGGCTCCGGTTCCAATCCTGGAGCCGTTTTTTTGCCGTTTCCGGTCGCCGTTCTTTTGCCGTCTCCATTTTCAAGGGATTTTTTTCGGAAACGGTAAAACAACGGCCCTGCCGTTTCAAGGGCCCACAAAGGGTTGTGGTGGTGGTGGTGGTGGTGCGTTTCCTTCTCCACATGCCTGCCGCGACCCAGGGCCCTTCGCCTTCTGGGATCCCCCGGGGTGGGCTCTGCCCTCATGGCGCTCCCCGGCATCGCCCGGCGGGTGGGCTTCTGGCCCTCCCCCTGGCCGAGTGTGCGCGTTGGCTCGTTGTGCTGTCCCCCGTCCACTCCCCCCCCCTCCTCCGCTTCGCCTCCCCTCTCCTTCTCCCTCTCCCCCTCTCCCTCCTTCTCCTTCTCCTCCTGCTCCTCCTCCTCCTCCTCCTCATCCTCCTCCTCCTCGTCGTCGTCCTCCTCCTCCTCCTCCTCCTCCTCCTCTTCCTCCTCCTACCATCCCCTCCTCCCTGTCGTCCTCTTCGCTCTCCTCTTCCTCCTCCTCCTCCTCCTCCTCCTCCTTCTCCTTCTCCTCCTCCTCCTCTTCACTCATCCTCACTCCTCACTGCTGCCTCCTGCCCCCCCGATCAGAGCAGGAACATATACCGATACTGCTACCTTTCTCTCGTCGTCACGGCTGGATACGCCTGGAAACCCAGGGCAGACCGCACCTTCGGAGAGGTGCAGGAAATACCAGTATCGATACCTTTTGGTAAACCCCCTTCCTTTCTTGATCCCCCCAGATGGAACGAGAGAGTGAGACAAATGAGGTCCTTTCCGCTCCCCCACCTTCTCTTGGCCATGCTCTGGGGGCGACCCGCCTGAAGCGTCAGCGGACGGTGCTGCCGCAATGTCATCACAGCTACCGAACTTGCAGCTCGCCATCGAGAAACACAGCCTTGAGCCTGGGCTCCCCTGCGGCGCCTCCAGCGCCGCCCCTGGCGCGCTCCGCGCGCCAGGGAGGAGGGTTCAGCGCGAATCCACGAAATCCGCGCGGAGCGCCAAGAGTTGATGTTTGCGTGTTTTGTTCTTCTTCTACGGCTGCAGGCAACCCTCTTCTGTCTCTCGCAGAGGACTCTCGCCGCATTCTGCTTCGCGAAGGCGGTGTTCGCCCTCGCGAGTGCCCACCAAGTCAGTCCCTCGAAGACGCCCGCCGACCCAAGGAGCCGGGAGCCCAGCTCCCGGCCTCCACGTCCAGCTTTCCTCGTGCGCCCTCTCCGCCGCCGTCGCCACAGTATGCGTTGTGCGCGGCCGCGCGGTACTCCAGATTTCGTAATAAAAGGGAGGGGGGTCTCATTTCGGGGGGGGTCTCTTCCAGGTTATCTGGAAGAGCCCCCCCCGAAATGAGACCCCCCTCCCTTTATTACGAAATCTGGAGTAGCCTTCGTGCTCGAAGTACCGCGCGACCTCCTCTTCCGCCTCCGTTCCCTTACCGTCGCCGCGGGGCCCGCCGCTGCGGGGCCCGCGCCCAGGCCGGCGGGTGGTGCACCAGCCCCGCGCCGCGCCGCAGGGTGACCGCCACCGGGAGGCGCAGCGCCCCGAGCAGCGCGGCGAACGCTGGCGCCACGCGGCTGGCGTGAGCCGGTGGCGCACAGCGCCGGGCCCTCGCAGCGCCAATCTCGCGCGCCTCGGCGCCGGTGGGCAACGCTGCCGCCGCCGCTCCGCCGCCGGGCGGCCCGCGCGGAGCCAGCGCGGCCGCGCGCGGAGGGCGCCCGAGGAGCCCCGGGCACCTGATCTTTTGGACCTCCAGAGTTCGGGGGCGGCAAAGAGGGGGGTGATGACAAGGGGGGGGTGGATACCATGGCGTGGGCCATGATATGTCCCCAGATTTCATGGCGCCTCGTCTTATTTCATGACGTCCCTGGTCCCCCCTGTGGGCCGCGCACATGTCGCCAGCCATGATTTGCGCCCCCCCCCCCCCCTCTTGGACGCCCCCCCCCTCTTGGCCGCCCCCGCAGAGTGGGGCTTCGGAGGACCCGGTCTTAAGGTCACTGAGGCCGACCCCCAGCTTGGCCCAACATGGCTTGAGCCGCCGAGAGGGGAGGAATCGGCGTCACCCCAACATGCTTGTATGATAAGTGCGTCGCCCCTCCCAGGGGCGACGCGCGCACCGAGACATCTCGTAGTATATGCGTCGTGGCGGGCGCTTTCTGGCCGTGCTGCTCGGAAAACGATATACTACAATATGGGTATACTATACGATCGGGTCGGACGCGCGCCTTCGATAGTATTCGCATGTCTCTGTGCGTCCCAAGAAAGGGAATGGGCAGGCAGAGGCAAGGGCAAATGCGGAGAGGAAGCCCGCGCCGATCAAGCAGCCTGAGCAAGGTGGGCGCCGCCTGCCTGCTACATCTCGGGCAGGTCGTGCGGGATCGCTGGAGACGCCTCCAGCGCAAGGAAGGGCAGCACAAATCGATCCAAGTCCATGTCCAGGGCCCAACCACCTCTCATCCCACTTTCCTACCAGATGCCCTCCTCCTTCTCCTCCTCCTCCTCTTTGAAGTTCGCGGATGCTGGTGTGCGAATGCTGCTGTGTGGTCACTCAGACATATGGGCCGAGATCGTTACACCACCATAACCACCACCTCGAAGTTCGCTCGAGCTTGGTAACCAGAAGCCTTCCTTGGAATCATCCTGGCAATGCTACGAGGGAACAGAACCTCAAGCGAGTTCCTCTGGTCAAGTGGCCGACCCCTGAGAAAATCCAGGCGACTGCGGGAAGCACTCCATTGGCATGATGCTAACATTCAGTCGGGCATGTCCCACTACATGAGAAATGACTCAAACATAGTCAAATTGATAGGTGGAGTGTGTTTCAATTCTTGCTTGGTCATTGTTGAATCGTTTGTTCTTGTGTTTTATGTCACAAATCCATTAAATTCTTTACGCTTCGCGTATCCCCACCAGCCCATCTCACAACAGCAACTCTTGCGAAGCATGCCGACAGTCGTGTTTTTCAGGCGTGTGTCCGCTTGGCCCCGCATATCTCCCCTGTTACTCCTTCCTCCCGCCTCCTTGTACATCCTCCTTGTGGGGGGAGCGGGAGAAGGACGAGGCGGAGGAGGAGGGAGAGAAAGCGCTCCTCGTGGTTTGAGTCGTTTGGGGTTTCTCGTCCTGGTGTGAGTCGTTCGGGCCCTTCTTCCTGGTGTGAGTCGTTCGGGCTCTTCGTGGTGTGAGTCGTTCGGGCTCTTCGTCCTGGTGTGAGTCGTTCGGGCTTCTCGTGGTGTGAGTTGTTCGGGCCCCTCGTCCTGGTGTGAGTCGTTCGGGCCCCTCCTCCTGGTGTGACTCGTTCGGGCTCCTCGTGGTGTGAGTCGTTCGGGGCCCTCGTCGTGGTGTGAGTCGTTCGGGCTCCTCGTGGTGTGAGTCGTTCGGGCGCCTCGTCCTGGTGTGAGTCGTTCGGGCCCTCCTTCTGGTGTGAGTCGTTCGGGCTCTTCGTGGTGTGAGTCGTTCGGGCCCCTCGTCCTGGTGTGAGTCGTTCGGGCTCCTCGTGGCGTGAGGCGTTCGGGCACCTCGTCCCCTTTTGGGGCGTCTTGGGGGCCTCTTGGCGGCCCCAGGGGCTTCTAGGAGCGTCTTGGGTGCCTTGGGGGAGCCTCTTCGGGCCTCTTGGGAGCCTCTTGGAGGCCGTTTGGGGCGTCTTGGGGGCCTCTTGGCGGCCCCAGGGGCTTCCAGGAGCGTCTTGGGTCATTGTTGAATCGTTTGTTCTTGTGTTTTATGTCACAAATCCATCAAACTCTGTCTGCAGGGACATGCCCGGCCTAATGCTAACAGGCGCGTCATTCAAGTTGGTGTTGGTGGGGGCGTAGCAGAGCAAATTGCTTCTGCACTAAGGTGCCATCTTTGGTGCGTTGTCCCCTTGTTTTGCCGCCTCACCTTTCTTTCTCTGCCACTCGCGTTGTTATCTCTGGGCCTTTCGGCCTGTTCCTGTCGTACCGCTATTTCTCTCTTCCTCGTGGCTCACCGTGTTGCTTCTGAATGTAGAGGCTTCGGCACTGCTGTCCGTTCCCGCTGTCGCTGCTGCCGCACACAAGCCAGCGTTGAGCCTGACGGTTGCACTACAGCACGCAACGCCCCCCCCCCGCTTCTGTCAGCGTCCCCTCTGCCAGCCTTCTGGGGTGACTTGGAGAAAGACTTCTGCTTAGTGATTGTCTTTTATGCATTGTTTTGTCGATCGGCGCGGGCCCTCTCCCCCCCTCCCCCCCTCCGCATGGAGTATATCTTGGCTGTATGGGGCGCCTGTTCCAAGCAGGTGGAGTCCCTACCCCCCCATGGAACGCACCTCTGCAAACAGTCGCATCAGGCAGAGGTTCTGGAGCCAGACCTCCCTCTCCCCTTTCCTTTTTGCCCAATGGCGACACGCAAAACAAAAAAACGCTCACTTGCGTGCTGGCTGATCAAGGCATGGTTGCAGAGCGCCGGGCCGGAGCCGCGCGCCCTGCAGCTGCCTCCTCCTCCTCCTCCTCCTCCTCCTCCTCCTCCTCCTCCTCCTCGTCCTCCTCCCCGTCTTCCTCCTCCTCCTCCTCCTCCTCCACTTCTTCCTTTTCCTCCCCTCTTCCCCCTCCTCCTCCTCCTCCTCGTCCTCCTTCTCCTCCTCCTCGTCCCTCTCGTCCTCCTCCTCCTCGCCCCTCTCGTCGTCCTCCTCCTCCTCCTCCTCCGCCTGCAGGCCGAGTGCATGAAAACCGCCTCGGACCACGACGCCTCCAAGACGGGCCGCGCCGAGGAGCTCAAGGCCGACTCGCGCGGCCAGCCTGCGGCGCTCGGCGCTCGCACGCCTCGCCTTCCTCGTGGCAACGTCGCGTGGCCTCGGCCGGCGCGTCCCAGAAGAGGAGTAAAGGGAGAAGGAGGAAGAGGAGGAGGAGGAGGAGGCGGAGGAGGAGGAGGAGGCGGAGGATGAGGAGGAGGAGGAGGAGGAGGGGGGGGAGGAGGAGGAGGAGGAGGAGGAGGAGGAGGAGGAGGAGGAGGAGGGAGGAGGAGGAGGAGGAGGAGGAGGAGGAGGAGGAGGAGGCGGAGGCGGAGGCGGAGGAGGGTGAGGAAGAGGAGGAAGAGGAGGAAGAGGAGGAGGACCAGGAGTTGGAGGAGGAGGAGGACGGGGAGGAGGGACCTGATAGATCAGTTGTCGTGTCGAGCTCACGGAAGGTAGAGGTTACGTGCGTAGGCCTCTGGCAGAGCCCGCGGGATCCCGAGAGCCCGAGGCATATTTTTTTGCGAAGCCCATTGGGCTCAAACCGCGCGGTTCCCTGTTTATCCAATTGAGTGCATCACAGAGAGTAACATAACAGATTCTTCTTCTCTCTCGATATCAAGATCTCTTGTTTTTTTGCCTTGTGCTGGCGTGGCCAAGGAGAGCACTGGCGCGAGTTTACGAGTTTGAGGAGTTCGAGTACGACTCTAGCTTGTAGCGGAGCCACACACACACGGGGTCGGCTCTACTCAGGGAGCCAGAGACGGGGTAACAGCAGACGGGGTAACAGGAAACGGCCGGTTCGAGGCATCAAATGGCCCTTTTGTTGCAGTGCAGTTTTCTTTGGTTTTCGCGTTCGATGCAGCCGCATGCCGGCTGCGTTGCACATTTTCGGCTGCTGCACTGCAACTTTTTGTTTGGGCCCATGTTGCCCCGTCTGTGCGGCTTGTGTGCAATTTTTCTGCAATTAGTTGCCAACGAATTGCAGTGCAGTTTTGTCTTGCGTTGCAGACAATTGCAGTGCATTTGTTTTTCTGGTCGTTGCAGTTTTTCCACCTGGATCCTATGGTGGGTCTGTTACCCCGTTCAGGCGTTACCTGGCTCAGTGCTCCCTGATCTATGGACTTGGGTACGAGCTCAGCTTCGCTGACGGCAGCAGCATGTCTTCCTTGATTTTGCTGCTGGTTACGATGTATCGCCAACCGGTTGGACGTTTCCAGCCTTGAGGAGACGGTGGACTGGCGGCCGGGGCAGGCCGCGGCAGGGCAGCATGGCCATATGGAACACAGGTGCCAGAGCCACGGGAGCGGATCAGTATGCGAGGATCGATGACGAACGGGCCACCCTGGTCGCCGGAGGTGGAACAACAATATCTTTTTTTCACACATTGTTCAAATGTGGTGGCCTGGTGCAATGCTACTAACATAGATGAAGTACGCAAGGGACCACATATCGAGTTGTCATTGGGTGGCATCGCCAGGTACATGATCCGAGAATTGCCCTTGCATGCGAAGATCAACGGTGCCGAAATGGACTTGGGCGACGGAGCGAGAATACAGCGTCGCAGTGGTGCAGGTTTTTTTGCAGGCGTTGGCTCGCCAGTTCTTGCCGCTGGAAGAAGAGACTAGGCCTCGTGGCATGGCAAACTATGGGTTCTGAAGAACTTGTCATGAGAAAAAAACGGTACACTAATCACGAGATGGGAAGTGGTACCCCAACGAGCACGAACCCGATCCAACATTGTCGTTCAACATCATCATGCCGCTTGGATGCTGCTGATGGCGATACGACCTCCTGCGGAGTATTGGGTCCAAGTCTTGACACCATTTCAGGGTCAGCTACCGATGGGCGATGGTAAATACCGACAGTTCGTAACGTTGATCCAGAGGTTTGGTCATCTTGCGGGGCATGGAAGTCACACCATGATGAATCCAGCCACGCAGGGACCTCCGGTGCTACACACGACAGAGCACGCGTTCATGACCAGCGACCAGAATATGACGGGCAGATGGCAGACAGGCCCTTTCCATACCGACATTGCAGCCACAGGTGATGCAGAGCAGGCAGGACTTCGAGCAGGATCATGGGCAGTACTACGCGGACGATAGCGTCACCACAGACGACGACGGTGAAGCAGATGCGGTGTTGGTCGAACTTGAAGAAGACGAGCCAGATATGATCAACTGGAGTGCGAACGGTCGTGCCGAGTTTTTCTATCAGAAGTACAAGGGGCACCGCAAGAAGTGGCAGCTTTTCGTGGGCAAGGCGCCCCAAAAGCATCGCGGGCCGCTTCGTCGTCGACATTCCTATGAGAGTGTTCATCTGTCAGACTTTATGGGCGTATCCGACGGTAAAGGTCGCAAAGGTGATCCAGTGGGTGCTGATGGACAGTCTCTGAAGTGCTCAACCTGCGGATCTACGCAACACTTGTGGCGGCGGCGCCCAAACGGAAGAGGCAAGGGCGGAAAAAGGAAAAGGCAAGGACGTCGGCAGAGCGACGTTTATGCGCGCGAATGCGGCCACAGCGGCTACCTATGCGCCTTCTCCTACGGCTACTCCATTCATTCAGAGACCTCTGGCCGGGTTGCCGGCGGCGCCGGGCGTCTTCGTGACGGGGGAAGCCAGGGTGACCACGAGCGCGGAATCAGTTACCTCATTGGGGATAGTTTCGGGCAGCGGCGTTGCTACAGGGGCAGGTGCTCTCGCCGATGGCGGCGGAGGCGAGGCCGATGACGAGCGTGGGCAATATCAGCGCGAGGCGAAATCCATGGCGCAGACGCAGTACGCGGCTGCGCAGAAGGTGCAGCGCGGAGTGTCTTCGCAGGCGGTGGCGGACGTTCGGGGCGGCTGACGTCGCATACTTTGCAGCCGACAGCCCGACTCCATTCTTCGATTCACCAGGAAGCCCATCGCCATATTGGAGACCGCCATTACCGAGATCACCATCCACAGCGAGACCCAAATCGTCAGGCTTGCCAGTGTCGGTGATCCAGCAGCTGGCGCCTCGATCATCAGGAGCTGCCGCCGCGTCGGGATTCGTTACTCCTCCGGCGGCAGCGGCGCCAGAAGAGTTCCATTCACCAGCATCGCAACGCGGAGGCGCCGAACATATGATCACCATTGCCAGCAATCACGTTGAGGAGGCAGGACGTCGTTTAGCAGAAGCGGCAGATGCGCCAGCACCTGATCTACATAGCGCGCAGAACAGCGTGTCTGGTGAGGTCACGACTAAGCTGATGCCATGTGGTCATGCTCATCTCTGTCAAGTCTGTGCAGGGCATATTGTGGCCGGCGCAGCGGGCGATCCCCCTGCGCGCCCATTGTGCCGCGCAGCAGTTCATGGGGCAGCGCCGGCAGTTCGTCAGAATATCGAAGACGGTGCTCATGAGCGACCACAAGTATCAGCCATGATGGAAGATCTAGCCAACGCCCTGTCCTCTATCGCAAAAGAACGACGCGAATTCCACGGTGCCGATGCCATTCCAGTTCCGCCCCGACAGCGCTGCCAACGAGAAGGCCCCGCATCACCGCGGATCTGACCAATTCAAGTTCTAATGTTGCACCCTCTTCAGAGGCTCCGAGGAGGATCGCGTCGTTATTCGGGCCGTGGTGGCCCTCTGGCAGCTGTTCGCGTGACTACGAGGTGTACTCCAGCAACCTGGCTTTGCCCAATGATGAGGTCGGTCTCATGCCAGATACTGGAGGTCATGATGGACTATATGGAGAGCAGTGGGCACGTCGACAGGCTGCCACTCGTGTGGGGCATCACAAGACGGTCCACCAACAAGCGCTGATCGAGCCTCGTCACGTTGCCGTCGTTGGCAACGGCTCGCAGCAGGCGGACTACGAGGCGGAGCTGGCGACGGGCATGATCGACGCCGAGGGTGTGTGCCACGGTGAGGTCTTCAAGGCTCCGTGCTTGGAGGACTCAAGACTTCCTGGATTGATGGCCATTCGGAGTTTGGAGCGGAATGGCGCGCTGATCAGATGCAAGACGGGGGGGATTTTGTCTCCGGGACCCGGCGGCGTCAATGTCGAAGCGTCGCCGGGCAGTCGCCGCAAGCAAGACGGTCAGCCAGCGAAGACCGGCAACGTCGTTATGGCCACAGAGAAGGCGAAGGCATCCACAGGAGCAACGGCAGGCCCCAGCTCAGCAGCACCTCCCGCATCTAAGCCCAGCACGTTGACGGCATTTTCAAGCAGGAAGGGTGTCAGCTGGGCGTCCCCGGACTGACGAACCACGGCGGGCTGCCTCAGCCCGGGGGCAGCGCCGCCGCCCGTGGGTCCGGCGGGCCCAGCTGCCGGCGACAGGGATGCCAGCGCGGACGACATCATACGGAAGTCTGTGATGTTGATCAGTCAAGACGCCCAGATGCAGCAGCAGCAGCTAAGTGAACGACATCCGCAGTTACGCATGGTAGCTCGAACCATAGTTCTTGAAGTATTGTGGTTGGAGGCGCGCGACAGGTTTCTGAAGGGCACTTTCATGATCATCGCTGAGTTTCCACATTGCAGAACTGGTTCAGGTACTCGCAAGATCGCAAAAGCATGGGCATATGTACGCCGTACCGCACGGTCAAGAGAGATATGCCATTTGTGCGATTTGTTCCTAGACGTTCAAGTGCATGGCAGATGGCGGCTATTCAGAGTATTATTAACATGCTGTGTGTATTCACATCGTATCATCAGGCGTGTGCCTGGGACTTTTGCTCGCCAGTATCGTCCAAGCCTTTGAGACTGCGTCTACATCTGACATCCACCAAGAAGGTAACTTGCACCCAATGTGACCATGGAGCTGGTGCTCCTCATTGCGTGGACATCGAGTATTCTTTCTGGGCGAGCCAAGTGGGATTACCGATCAGAGAATGGAGATTCATCGCAAGATTATGCGTGGCATGCTCAACGTGGTGGATAGAATGCTTCCCGCGTCCAGGGCCGACTTGATAGATTCCAACATTTCTCAGAATGTCACAGTTCTTGATGACAGTAAGATCGGAATTGTTGACGCTTCGCGTATCCCCACCAGCCCATCCAGAAACGATGCTCAG